TGCCCTGCAAAAGCATGACATTTTTAGTACTGAATCAGATCTCACTCTTCTTCTTCTTCGCCGCTTCTCTTACCTTGAGCAGCCCAGTCGATCCTGACGTATACATGATATCACCACCATTGCCAAAAGTAAGTTCGGTAACTGCCACTGAATAATAAAAATCATCTGTTTCATCTGTTAACTGGTACACGCACTCACCTTGGGCAACCCAGTCGATCCTGACGTGTACATGATCACCGCCAGATCCCACCGTTGTCAACTGATGGGTACAGAATCAAGACTCCTTGCCATGGTACCTGTCTCCCTCACCACTCAGAGCACACATTCCATACCTTGGGCAACCCAGTCGATCCTGACGTGTACATGATCACCGCCAGATCTGACCGTTGTCAACTGATGGGTACAAAATTAAGACTCCTTGCCATGGTACCTGTCTCCCTCACCACTCAGAGCACACATTCCATACCTTGGGCAACCCAGTCGATCCTGACGTGTACATGATCACCGCAAGATCCGACGGCTGCGGGAGCTCCGGCGTCACCGGTGACTCAACGCCGCTCTTCTCCACGTCAGCAAACGACAGCAGCGTGACACCTGGCGCCAGCTGGCCCGTAGCCACTTTAGCCTCTGCTTCGGTGGGCCCCTTGCCAGCCTCGGACAGCGGGCGAGGCTCAGGCATCATGATAACCCGTTTTACGGTCTTGAGCTCGCCCTTTAAGGACGCTTCCTCCAGCTTCTCCAGCTGCTTGTGATCACAAACGACAGTGGTGACCTCCGTCTGTGGCGGGTTGAGGGTGGTTCGGAGGGTTTGACGGGTGTGGGGGACAGCGGACGGGGCTTGGGCATCATAATGACTTGTTTAACAGTCTTGAGCTCGCCCTTTAAGGATGCTTCTTCCAGCTTCTCCAGCTGCTTGTGGTCGCAGATGACAGTGGTGACCTCCGTCTGTCGTGAGGGGAGGCGGGGTAGCGAGATTAGGGCGGGGCTCGGGCATCATGATGACGCGTTTTACGGTCTTGAGCTCGCCCTTTAAGGACGCTTCTTCCAGCTTCTCCAGCTGCTTGCGGTCGCAGATCAATGTCGTCACCTCCGTCTGTCGTGGGGGAAGAGGGGGCAGGGAGGGGCGGGGGGAGGGGCCAGGGGGGAAGGTGCAGAGTTGAGGAGTGATGGTGAGTGGTGAGTCACTTGAAACGCCTTGCCTCCAGCTGCTTGTTGTCGCAGATGACTTTGGTGACCTCCGTCTGTAGTTTGGCAGAGGTTGGTGAAAGGGGGGGGGGGGAGAGGGGGGGGGGGGGGGGGGTGTGGGGTAAAATTCTATTTTGACAATTCTCAAAAGTGACTCTGTGGCAGCTGATCAACTCAGCGAGGCATCACCACATCAAGCCCCTGCTGAAACGTTTCAACCCCAAAACCATGTCCAACCCCATCTCTCCCTACCCATCCCAACCCCATCCCAACCCCAACTCCATCGTACCTCATTCAAGGCATGCACTAAGGCCTCTTGCCCCAGAGACGCATAGACCGTGACCACCACCAGGCTCTGCTGAAACGCCCACCCCCCAATCGCCTCGTACCTCATTCAAGGCATGCACTAAGGCCTCCTGCCCCAGGGATGCATACACCGTCACCACCACCAGGCTCTGCTGAAGCAGTCAACCATAACAGCATCTCCAACCCCAGCACCAAACCCCTCCTACCTCGTTCAATGCATGCACCAAAGCCTCCTGCCCCAGGGATGCATACACCGTGACCACCACCAGGCTCTGCTGAAACGCGCCTTGCAGCGCAAGGTAAAAGTCCGCGCGCGTCTCCGCCACAATCGCCACCGCCTCCCCCTTTCCATGCCCCACATTCCTTAACCCCCCGCCAAACGCCTCCGCCCTATCCAGTGCTCTAGAGTACGATTCCCACTCGTACTCGCCAAACTCCAGCTTCTCAATCTCTTTCCCCTCCTCGTTGATCACTGTTTCCCGCGAGATGAATTTCCGCGTGCCGAGCAGCGGGCGGTGGTGGTGGCGGCGGGAGGCGATGACGAAGAGAGAGGCGACGGTGGTGGCGCCGTCAAAGGGGATCTCGAGCAGCGTGGGGAAGTGCGCGTGGCGGTAGGTCAGCCCGGGCGTGCCGGCGTCGAGGAGAACCCCGTACAGATGCTTCTTGGGGCGGGAGCTGAGGAGATCGGGTGGGGCAGAAGGGGAAGAGGAGAATGGAAAGAGCAGCGTGGGGAAGTGCGCGTGGCGGTAGGTTAGGCCGGGCGTGCCTGCGTCTAGCAAGACCCCGTAGAGGTGCTTCTTTGAGGTGGAGCTGGGGGGAGCGGGGGAGAAGGGGAAGAGGAGAAAGGAAAGAGCAGAGTGGGGAAGTGCGCGTGGCGGTATGTGAGGCTGGGCGTGCCTTCATCAGGCATCATCCCGTACAGATTGACGACCCTGAGCGGGAATCGCTGAGAATCTTGTTGAAAATTCCCATCATCGAGCACTGAATGCAGCGCACGGTTACTCCAGGTACTGCACGGTGATGACGATGATCGGCAAGGCCACGCGCACGGGAATCAAGACTGGGTTGAATTCGTCCCGTTTGAAAAATAAACCCATCAGCCAATGCTAGTCCAAGCAGGGGCGGTTACCCTGAGGTACTGCACGATGACGACGACCAGGAACGCCAAAACGACGGGAATGATGAAACGGCTGAATTCCGCTCTCTGAATACGACAACGATCAGCCAAAGCCAGTACAAGCAGCGATGATACCTGAGGTGCTGCACGATGACGACGATAACGAACGCCACGGCGACGGGAACGACGAGCGGGACGACCGAATCGAATTACACTTTCTAATAAGGTCAACCATCAGCCAATGCTAGTGCAAAGTGCAAGCAAGCAGCGACGGTACCTCAAGTACTGCACGATGATGACGACCAGGAACGCCACGGCGACGGGAACGACGAGCGGATTCAACCCCTCCATCGCCTCCGCGAGACGCGGACCGATGATCGGAAGCATGCGAGCGATCTCCACCGACGCCATGGCGACACCACTACTAGCGGATGAAGATGTACGCGAATTTAGAGAGATCTCGAGATACGCCTACAACACGACAATGAGTGCGACTAGTCTAGGGATAACCTTGTTCTCCCCAAGTGATCCTCAGTTCAGGGCTACACCCCAAGTTCAGAGATGAAAACGAATCTGGAACGTCGTTTCGGAAGCCTGGAAGGAGGCCTGGAAAGGGGAAGAACCCTTTTCGCCTTGTTGTGGCAGATCGACGGCGTGTGATGGATCTCTTGAGCAGCCTAAATCTACTACCTCGGTAAAGCGAACGACCGCATGCAACTTGCGGCTTGTGCGATGGCCAGATCGCACGCTACCTCGAGATCCACGCCTCGCGAATTTAGCGGTGAGCTCCCCGTAACGTACCCATGGTTTGCTTCTCTCATCTCGGTCACTATCATTCCTGTGTCTGCCTGGAGTTGATGTGCGAGTTTGATGTTGGGTCGTATTCCTGGCGGATTATTGCGCCTGAGACGGAGTCGCCACCTAGTTGAGCTGCAATTCGGAACCGTAAAAGTTTGAGATCGTATCTGACAAAGCGCTCAGGTACGGACTAAAGTTCTTCGGAAAACTGTATTTGTCTTTTTTAAACACGCCTTCACAAACTACGTGTTGTTTGCTTGTGCTTTCTGGGGTCTGGAGTCTGGACCACCTTCGCGACGTGTGAATGAACCAAGCACTGCAGTGAGCGGTCAGGATGAGGCCTTGAGAGTTTCAACGGATGGATGAAACCTGACGCTTGGCTGTGGATGAAATCGCCCATCTCTGATCCGCCGAAGTTCGCGCGCGAGGGAAACGAGTGATCAAAATCGAATGTTCACCAGCAGAGTTATCAAACGCAAGGTTCCAGCATTTCAGAAGGTGGGTGTCAGCCTTGTAAAGAGACGCTGGATGATCCTTTATCAGGTATAGCGCAGGACCACAACCAATCGCACGCGATTTGGCTTCCGCACATTCCGCGAAACAATCAAGGTTTTCCCGCCGTGCGTCCAGCAAATCAGCTTCATTTCCAGCTCACAAGGCAAAAGCAACACACACCACAAAAGCGGACCTCACTCCCTCAACCACAACCCTGTTGCTGGTCGGATCAAAAATTGCGAAATCCACGTGATTTCGCAGCTTCAGCGCAAGCCTCTTCTGGACTTCTTGAAACATTGTTACCGAGTTCGTTAACGCTCGTCAACTTGTCATCTTGCCCTCCCCTCCCAACACCTCCTTCAAGCATCCCTCGGACGTAAACCAAACCATGGCTGCTGTGCTGTGGGAATCGTGACTCCTCATCACAAACCACCTTCAGGGACGTTTGCACCATTCGATTCCAGAAGAATAACTTGTTCTTCTCAAGAATACAAAGCCCGAGCATTACAGGCCGAGCATTTTCGTCCTGGCCCTGCATCTCGCTGCATCGATTTTCCAAATTCGAAGCTATTACTACAGGCACTGTTCCTCACTCCTTCACAAGATTCAGTTGAACCTGATTGTTTAGGTGTTTCTTTGCACGGCTTGGATTCAGGAACAGATAGGAGGAAGCTATCTTTCTGATTAACTGCAGCGTCGCCTCTCCTCTCGCTCATTACACATTCCGTGTCTGTCAAGTAGCAGCAGTCAGTCTTGATGGGTGGTTCCTCAACGTCTACCACGCCAGCAGCAGAAGCAAACAGCGTTGAGCATCCAAATGACGAATTTGATCCCAGGGGTACGCCGTTATGTAAATGCGACCCAAATGCTCACTATGTCCAGTTCCTTCTCAGAGAAAGCGTATTCTTTCCTCTACCCTAGCCAGCGGTGTTGATCCACGGGAGGCTTAGGTCATCAGTGCGGACGTGACATAACAAGGTGTATGGTAACCGCTTGTTTGTTCGTTGTAACCGTTTTCCGGCGTGAAAGCTCCTGCATTCTTCATCACGTAAATGTCACTCAGTGACTAGGTCATTACCCATCCTTCACAATCTATCCCATGCTCTCATGGCGGAAACGCTACAAGAACTCCAATGCTGACATGCCATTTATCTCACGCTATGCTCGCACGCTTCGTTAGCGTCCTTCACAAAAGAATCTCTCACAATGGACTCCATGCTCTCATGCTGCTGACCGCCCTCGAGTTTTCCCGATTTCCGCATCCCCTCCCTTTCGCAGAGGTATGCATGGTGGGAGCAGCGCGCACGCCCATAAGAAACTTCATGGGTTCGCTTTCGCCCTCATCCCTCTCCGCCACGCAGCTCCACCTTTCCTTAACTTCTCTCGATACTTCCCTTTTTTTCGTCTCCTCCCTTCTGCAGAGGTGTGCATAGTAGGAGCAGCGCGCACGCCCATGGGAAGCTTCATGGGTTCGCTCTCCTCACTCTCCGCCACCCAGCTTGGCGCCATCGCCATCAGAGGTCAGACACCCAGTCCTTGCCTTCCGCAACTCGATCTTAATCAAAAGCCACTGCATGGGTTCCCTCTCCTCCCTGTCCTCCCTTTCCGCCATCCACCTCCTCCTTTCCTACTCCCACACGCTGCTTGTCAGCTCAGTGCAGACCTGTGCGTGGTAGGCGCCAACTGGCCTGTGCTGTGCGTAACTGAATCCACCTTCGTTTCAACCTTTCTTCCGTTCCTGCAGAGGCCGTGGGGCGGTCAGGCCTAGGCCCAGCGGATGTGGAGGAGGTGTATATTGGCAACGTGCTGAGTGCGGAAATGGGGCCGTCGCCAACTGATGTTTTGAGTGCACCTGCTGCTGTCCCTTTCCTTTCTCTCAGAGGCCGTAGGGCGGTCAGGCCTAGGCTCAGCGAGGACCTGGGGCCGGCGCCAACTAACACCATGTTCGTCCCTCCCTTCTTTCCTGCAGAGGCTGTGGGGAGGTCGGGCCTGGGGCCGGCGGATGTGGAGGAGGTGTATATGGGCAACGTGTTGAGTGCGGACCTGGGGCAGGCGCCAGCCAGACAGGCGGCACTTGGGGCGGGTCTGCCTGACTCCGTGGTGGCAACCACCGTCAACAAAGTCTGTGCCTCCGGCATGAAAGGTGTGTTATGCGTTGACGAGGTGTGTGATGCGGTGTGCTGAGTTGTGTAATGCGGTGTTGAAAGGTGTGATGGTGAGGGACAGGCGCAAGCCAGACGGGCCGGGCTGCCTGACTCGGTTGTGGCTACCACCGTCAACAAAGTCAATGCCTCCGGCACGAAAGGTGTGTACGCGGTGCTATGCCCATTACTTACAGCCATGTGCCTCGCCGCGCAGTCCATCATGCTGGGGAGGGCAGACGTGGCAGTGGCACGCAGAGGTGGCGAGTCGTTCCAGTGCTGGGATGACTCAACGCGCCTATTACATTGCATCGCCCTGCCACTCCCTTGTGCTTACCCCTTACTGCCTGCTGCCATACGCCTGGCAGCACAGTCCATCATGGTGGGGCTGGCATGGCAGACGTGGTGGTGGCAGGCAGGGGCAGGTGTGTTGAGCCGTGTTACAATGAATCACGTAGAACCTTTAATTCAACTAGCCGTTCATTGCCTGACCCCGCCTTTTGCTCCCTGCAGCCATATGCCTGGCGGCGCAGGCCATCATGCTGGGGCTGGCAGACGTGGTGGTGGCTGGTGGCATGGAGAGCATGAGCAACGCGCCTTACTACCTCAACAAGGCCAGGTGAGCCACACATATGCACTTTTTTGCCACGAAAACAACACAGCTTGACAAGGTCAGGTGAGCTTCACGTTTCCTGATAACGGTCGAGTTGTGAGACGTCTAAAACTAAGGCGACCAATGTACCTACCTCATCACCTCTGCATCCTATGCACCGTCCCCCCATGCCCAATGTGACACCTGCTGCTGGTGCCACACAGCACTCGGACGACCCTCCACATCCCCATGCCCTTCCCAACCACCTCATCCCCATCTACTAGATCGTGTATGGCGTGCAGAGGGGCGGGTTGAGCAACGTGTATATGGACATCCCTCACGTTCCCATGCCATTTCCCAGCACCAACCCCCTTTCTTCCCCTCTCTTACCATTTCCTCCCCTCTCCACTTTGTGCTGCACACAGGAGTGGATGCCGGTTCGGGCACGGGGAGATGATGGTTGGGGCGCAGAGGGATGGCCTCAGCGACGCATATTCAGACATTCCTTCCCCTTCCCCTCTCCCTTCCCCTTCCCCTCTCCCTTCCCCGTCCCCTCTCCCTTCCCCTTCCCCTCTCCTTCCTCGCTTCCATGCTGTGTCGCTAACAGGAGTGGGTACCGGTTTGGGCACGGGGAGATGGTGGATGGGGTGCAGAGGGACGGCCTCAGCGACGCGTATTCAGAGGACCCCATGGGGTGCTTTGCAGAGCAGTGCGCGGAGGAGCAGGGCATTGGGCGGGAGCAGCAGGACGAGCATGCCACTGCCACACATGAGAGGGCCGCTGCTGCCCATGCTGACGGCGCTTTCGACTGGGAGATCGTGCCTGTGCGTGAGTGGGTGGGGGAGGGGGGGGATTGGGGTGGAGGAGGGAGAGTTCGAGGGAGTGCGTGAGTGGGTGGGTGGGTGGTGTGAAGGAAGGAGCAAGCAGCAGGACGAGCATGCCACTGCCACGCACGAGCTGGCTGTTGCTGCCCATGCTGACGGCGCGTTTGACTGGGAGATCGTACCTGTGCGTGAGTGGGTTGGGGGTTTGGGGTGAAGGGTTTGAGTGCGGGAGTGTGTGAGGGAGCGTTTGTCACTTTTGAGAATTCTCCAAAGCCATGCTGACGGAGCGTTTGTCTGGGAAACACCTGGGCATGAGTGGATGGGGCGGTGGCAGTGAGGAGCGAGGGCGCGAGGGAGTGCAGTGGGAGTGCAGTGGGAGTGCAGTGGGGAGTGTGTGAGGAGTGTGTGAATATGCACAAGAGGATGTGGCTCACGTGGAGGTGACGACTAGAAGTTGGTTATGCCTCGCTTTTAAACATCCGTTCCTCCCCACCCCACCTCCTAGACCCCCTCCCCCTCACCCCCTCCTTCGAAACCCCCTCCCCATTGTTTCGCTCCCCTCGTTCCGTGGTTCAGGTGGAGGTGAAGGCGTCAAAGGGAAAGCAAACGATTCTTGTGGAAAGGGATGAACCGTGCGCCAAGGTAGGTCTCCGGGAACGGATAGGAGGGATGTTTGGTGTGTGGAAGGGCGAATGGCCGGGTCTTCTTCGCTTTGTTCCTCTGCCTAGCGTTTCTCCCCGGCCGCCTTAATTCCTCCCTCTGCTTGCCGCAAAGTCTGCTTCAGGTGCACCTGCTCATATGTTCAATGTTGGTGTGTACTCGCCACCACACCACCCGCGCACTCGGCTGATCACCTCCTCCTTCCCTCCCTCCCTCTGATCGCTGCCATCCCTCCTTCCCTCCCTCCCTCCCTCCCTTCCTCCCTCCTTCCCTCCCTCCTTCCCTCCCTCCCTCCCTCCCTCCCTCCCTCCCTCCCTCCCTCCCTCCCTCCCTCCCTCCCTCCCTCCCTCCCTCCCTCCCTCCCTCCCTCCCTCTGATCTCTGCCGTCCCTCTCTATTTCTCCGCGCCCAGTTTGACGCCAACAAGCTTCGCCTGCTGCGCCCATGCTTCAAGTGCATTTACAGCCTTGGACGCTGCTCACCACACCAACCTCCCTTGGTCCACTCTTCCTCCCTCCCTCCCTCCCTCTTTCTTCTTCGCATGATCAGTTTGACGCCAACAAGCTTCGCCTGCTGCGCCCATGCTTCAAGGAGAACGGCACCGTCACAGCTGGCAACGCCTCAGCCATCAGGTATGCCAGCTGGCAACGCGTCAGCCATCAGGTATGCCAGCTGGCAACGCGTCAGCCATCAGGTATGCCAGCTGGCATCACCTCTGAGTTGAATTCAGTCCTAGTAGTAAAAAAAACGGGGACCAAAAAAAAAAAAAAAAAAAAAAAAAAAAACGTAATCATGACAGTACTTATCATTCCATTTCCGTCCTTTTTTGTCTCCCTTCTCCTTCGGACCTCTTGTACCGCTCCCCTCTTTCCTACTCCTTCTCCACTCCTCTTCATTCCTCTTCCAGTCTTTCTGAACCAATCACCCTTCAAGAACAGTGTTGCAGCCTCATTGAATGAAACAACACAATTGGCTCCAACACACTGAATTGCACGCATAATGTTGCACACACCACCAAAGCACACCTCCCCTTCCCCTATCCTTTTCCCCATCTCTTCCCTTCTGCTCCCCTACCACCCCTCGTTTTCTTCATTGTTCCACCAGTGACGGGGCAGCAGCAGTGGTTCTAGCGAGCCGGCAGGCAGCCAAGCAGCACGGGCTGAACGTGCTGGCAGTGCTGCGGGGCTTTGGGGATGCGGAGCAAGCACCCAGTCGCTTCACCACAGCGCCCGCCCTCGCCGTGCCCGTGGCTCTTAAGCATGCGGGGGTGGAGCAGGACGAGGTGGATTACTGGGAGATCAATGAAGCTTTTTCGGTGAGTGTTTTGGGTGCCTCAGCCCCGCATGCTTGAGAGCCATGGGCACTGCAAAAAGGTTTGGCCATTCAAAAAGCTCACGTGTGGGAGCAATCAGTTGCTAGCAGTGCTGCGGGGCTTTGGGGACGCGGAGCAAGCACCCAGCCGCTTCACCACAGCGCCCGCCCTCGCAGTGCCCGTGGCTCTCAAACACGCAGGGTTGGAACAAAGCAACGTGGACTACTGGGAGATCAACGAAGCATTCTCGGTGAGTTTTGCGAGTGATCCCTCAGGTGCCCTCTGCTGTTAGTTGTGTGATCAGTCTCAAGGGTGACCCCCTCGCAGTGCCGGTGGCTCTCAAGCATGCGGGGGTAGAGCAGGATGAGGTCGACTACTGGGAGATCAACGAAGCCTTTTCAATGAGTTGCGAATCACTGGTGTTGCTGGTCGTGTGGGTAGCTCCAATGGTTGCCCCCTCGCAGTGCCCGTGGTTCTCAAACACGCGGGGCTGGAACAGAGCGACGTGGATTACCGGGAGATAAATGAAGCCTTCTCGGTGAGTTGATGCAGCCAAGCATGCGACTGGCAGCCTTGGTTGGTGCAGCTGTGCTGTTGGGTTGAAGGGACGCCTCAACGCTTCCTCGGGTCGGGTCTCGCCCTTGGGGCTAAAACATGCCTCAAATTAAAATCGGGGCTGGTTGAGCAGTCAGTCAGCAGTCAGTCGGCAGTCAGTCAGCAGTCAGTTGGCAGTCAGTCAGCAGTCAGTCGGCAGTCAGTCAGCAGTCAGTCGGCAGTCAGTCAGCAGTCAGTCGGCAGTCAGTCAGCAGTCAGTCGGCAGTCAGTCAGCAGTCAGACGGCAGTCAGTCGGCAGTCAGTCGGCAGTCAGTCAGCAGTCAGTCGGCAGTCAGTCGGCAGTCGGACGGCAGTCAGTCAGCAGTCAGTCGGCAGTCAGTCGGCAGTCGGACGGCAGTTCGCATCTGGCACTCTTATAAGTGTTGGAGGGTTGAGTGTGTATGGTGGGGCTGTGGTGCTGGGACGTCCTTTAAAATGCAGACTGAAGCCCCACTTACCACACTCCACCGCACTTCAAGTGTCTCACCCCACTTCACTCCCCCGCTCGCTCCTCCAGGTCGTGGCTCTGGCGAACCAGAAGTTGCAGTATTCCCGAGGGGCGCCTGAACGTGCATGCGGAGGGCGGTGGCACTTGTGCATCCCCTCCTCACCGCACTCCACCGCACTTCACCCTTCCCATTCACCCCCCACTCAGGCAAACCAGGTGGTGGCTCTGACGAATCAGAAGCTTCTCGATATTCCTGAGGGGCGTCTGAACATGTATGGAGGGGCGGTGGCGCTGGCGCATCCCCTCCTCATCGCACTCCACCGCACTTCACCCTTTTCACCCATCCCCCACCCCCGCCCACCAGGCGGTGGCTCTGGCGAACCAGAAGCTGCTGGGTATTCCCGAGGGACGTCTGAACATGCATGGAGGGGCGGTCCGTTCCTCACCGCACTCCACCTCACGTCACCCTTCCCATTCACCCCCCACCCGCTGCCACTCCAGGTGGTGGCTCTGGCGAATCAGAAGCTGCTGGGTATTCCCGAGGGGCGGCTGAACGTGCATGGGGGGGCGGTGGCGCTGGGGCATCCCCTTAGCTGCACACTAAAGACCTCCTCACCGCACTCCATCGCACTTCACCCTTCCCATTCACCCCCCACCCACCCCCCACCAGGTGGTGGCTCTGGCGAATCAGAAGCTGCTGGGTATTCCCGAGGGGCGACTGAACGTGCATGGGGGGGCGGTGGCGCTGGGGCATCCCCTGGGGAGCAGTGGGGCTCGCATTGTCGTCACGCTGCTGGGCGTGCTCAGGAAGCACGAGGGGCGCCTGGGAGTGGCTGCTGTGTGCAACGGTGGAGGCGGTGCTTCCGCCGTGGTTGTCCAAGCCGAGTGAGTTCGATTTGTGGGCAATGGTTTTTCCGGGCACCTCAAAAGCCCTGAAATGGCTGCTGTGTGCAATTGAGGAGTGGTGCTTCTGCCTTGGTTGTCTAAGCTGAGTGATTGTTGGTTTGTGAAAATACTCAGAAGTGATTCGTGCTTAGCTGTCTCATTTTGCTGGCTCATGTTTAGACGTCTGGGGGTCCATGCCATGTGGAATGGTGGTGGCGGTGCTTCTGCCTTGGTCGCCCAGGCAGAGCGAGTAATGGAGCATGGAGATTTCCCAAAAGGCAGTCATATATAGCCGCCTTGGAGTGGCTGCCATGTGGAATGGTGGGGTACCTTCTTCCACCTTCCTAATCATCCACCTCCCCTCCGCTCCTGTGTGTGATCTTCCCTTGTGTTTATCACATTGGCAGATCATTGGGCTCGTCCACATGCCATGCTCACTTGTAACATTATTCGTTTAGTGTACGGTATGCTATACACAAAACTTCCATCGCTGATTATGCCAAGTCCTTCACAAAATAGTCTGAAACTGCTCTGAAGATAAGGGTGCCGGTGCACATTGGGGGCTTAATCACATGGGCACCGCTGTGCATCATTGTAAGGTCAGCTGTCTATTTTTTTTTTTTGGAGTTACTGGTACGGTACCAGGATAATCTGTTTAGTGACCTTATGTGCATTCCTAACTTCATATGAAGAGTGGATGATGGGTTTTTCTGTTACCTCCAGTAGGAGCATTTGCTTGCCAGATGTTTAACAGTTTGGATAATGCTTGCATCAATACTTACAGCAACACGAGACATATCTGAGAATGTAGAATTTGCTTATTCTCTTGGATTAGCTGTGGTTTGGAGCCTCCAAACTTGTTATGAATGAACTTGTCAGAGTGCGCAGATATCGAATAACGAGAATGTTGAACTACCGAATGCCTGAACAATGAAGTAGCGAGGCCTAAATAGGGGAAAACCTAGCTAGGCGGGGATGGTGTGGTAGAGTTGGCTCGCGAAGTGTCGCGATTGGTGCGGAGGCGGCTCGGTGAGGTTGGGATGCGAAATTGTAGGCCGAACCAGTTGGTCGCGTGGCCCTCGGGATGGCCTCGCTATCGAGCGCCTCAGTAAGGATTTGTAAATCCTTACACTCTCCCACCTCCTAAATAAGGCAGCCCTGTACTGAAAAGGGTCACCCAGTAGCGAGGATGCCGTTGATCTTCACTTCAGCTGAATCCGACGGCTGAAATGCCCCAGACAATATTGTTGAAAAGGTTGGAATGTCGGCCGTTGATGTTGTCAGATTTCGATCTGACGGTCGAAGATGAAGTGACCTCAATTGTAATGAAAGTTGGATTGTGAGCCGTAGATGCATATGCTGTAGATCCGACGGTCGAAGCAGATGCGAAAAGGGAGGGAACCTGCTGACGCGAATTCAAACGCAATTGAGCAGGAACCGTAGATCGTGTCGGTGTGATCGCGGTCGTCCGTCGTGCTGTCGCAACCTGACAAAGTCAGAAAAGGACCAAGAAAACGCCAAGGAAAGAACAGTGCGAAGCACTTTCTCCCCCACTCCAAGAAAACACACCATAAAAGTTCCAGCAGCTGCGCCGAGATGAAAACAAACAAAACCGGGTGTTAAGTCCCACGAAGGAAGCCGTTGATGGAAGGAACCCAAGTGAAAATGCGTCGGTGTGGAAATGTCGATGTCGAAACCAGGAATTACGTGCCCAAAAGTCGTCAAGGGCGAACCAGCGAAAGTAGACCAGAAACCGAAACCGAAATTGCCGAGTACTCGAACTGAAGCTTTTTGTCTTCACATCGCCAGAATCATGCAGCATCCGCAGCAGTTGCAGCTGGCAGCACCTGACGTGGCTGAAATTAAATATGTTTGTCGTGGGCGGGTCGATGGCGAGTTGTTGGAAGCAGAGTTGGGATGGATTCTCCAAGAATTTTGTCGTAATCCGCCGAGAGTTCGTGGGCAGGGATGAAAATTTGCAGCTGTCTCTCCCCCCCCGTCACTGTTGCCGCCGCCTTCTCCAGTTCGTCGTAAGTCGTTCGTACCCCTTGAAAAGTCCGTGTAGTTCCCGCGCCGTTGCCCTGCGTAAATTTCGCGCGCGTGTAACCAAACTTCGAAAGTACTGCCACAAAATTGCCGCGCTTTCGCCGTAAAACCGTGAAGTCCTTCGTCAAACTCCGAAATCGTCGCTCGAGAAGTAGCCCCGTAAATCCACAGGTCTAGGTGCAGTTCTCCTCCGAAAATCTCAGACGTGCTATAGCCGCCCACCCGGTCACCATCAGTTTCCTTCGGTTACCCGACCCCAGCATGTGGGTTAAATCGAGAACCGGGGACTGCCCTGGGTCTTCCGAGACCGAATTTCACGGAACCTAGAGGCATCAACGCCGTTGACCCCGTCGTCGAAACTGCTCCCGTCGATGTCGCTTAACTGAAAACCACGCAAACTCCCACTGGCGCTTTGCGATGTTTCACCTCATCGCGCGTCACCGGCAGGTAAATCCCGAAGCCTCGGCTGCTCCCACGCTCCCTGAAGAATTTCCCGCGGTGTACGTTTAAACACCCGTGGGTCCTAGGTATCAACCGCACTCCAAGAAACGAAGAAAACACCCTCAGCTTCAACTCCTTTTTTTTTTTTCGTAGGAAGATAACCCCGAAAATCGTGGTTGAGGCTGCAGTCCCGAAGTTATTCTCCGCCGTATAGCCCCGACGTTTCCGCCGTTTTTTCCCTGGTACTCCGATGTTCACCCATCTTCGTACCCGCCGGACTACTTAGCGAATCCCAGGTATCCTTGGCAATGTACCGCTCGCCGCGCCTCCATGTAACGATATCAAACCCTTTCGGGGGTCTACCGAATAGACTCCGAAATTCGCGGTAGATTGGTGCACGGGCTCAACCTATCACTCAAGTGATCTGCTGGATCACCCACAACTTTCCCTTCCGTCATCAATTTTTTCGTATTCACCCCCCGACAATTCCGCTTCCCGCCGTTCACCCAGCGTCCGCTTTTGTCGGATGGGGTATCGTCGTTGTTGCCCACGCGAACTCGGCCACGGTGGAGAGGCAAAAACTATCGGAGTCGGGGCAGCCTTAGTTAAAAGGAAACTGTCGCCCAACCGTTTTGCAGCCCGCCGTGCCTATCACGTCACGTAAAATCCACAGCTTCCCGGTCTCAGCTTCGCCGCCGCGCCGTCGATTCGTGTAGACGCCCGGGTCAGGAGAAACCTGTAGACTGCACCATTTCTTCTTCGCAGCTCCCCGACTTTTTCGCGTGCCGTTCACCCAGCCCGCTTTTGTCGGAGTAGAACAGTGCCGCGAGCTCCATTTTTTTTTTTTTTTTTTTTTTTTTTTTTTGTATTTTTTCTGTACAGCTGTCGAACGGGCACCAATCCCGGTACCTTTAACCAGCGCAGGGTAGGCCACGTGTTCACCCCCGTTATTCGGCCAAGTAGGTTGACTGCATGAGTCAGAACCAGGACTTGGTGGGGATGGTGAGGTTCGGGCGAAGTAGGGCCGCAGAGCGATTCCACCGGCTTTTAATCTGCCCCCGCAACGTTCTTCAACCCCCGCTTAATCTGGGCCGTTTCTTCTCGCGTGTCCCGGCAGCCTGTACCGACCCCTCCGAAATTATCGGGCGGTACCTTGGACACCGTTTAACCGTGGGTTGTCAGCAGCTGTCCCCGAAAACAACATCCTTGGTCAGGGGAAACTGTTCTCGATACTGCCGGCCAGCTTGCAACAACACCAGGCACGCAGCGTCGCACGAGTTCTTTCGAGGTGTACCTGCCCCGATTTCCCTCGTCGCCTGCGTCCCACTCCTCGTAAGTGCGGTTTAGCCATCGCGTTTTCCGTTGCAGCCCGTAAGCGTCAGCAGGTATGAAGTCCCGTCTGTCCACGAGCACTCCTGCCGAATTTGTTGATGACGCGCCCGCCAATGCAGTAAAAGCTGCCGCACTTAACAGGTCGGGCGGGACGGCAGTTAACTCCCGCGAAGTCGGGCAGTCTTGTGTCATCTCTCATCGCCACCGACATTTTCGGACGCAAACTCCTTTTGCGCCTGGCGAGTTCCCCAACCGACGTTTTCTTCAACAGAAGTGTCGAAAGGTAAGCAAGAAGTTTAGAAGCAGAAAGAGGGTTTGGACTAGCAGCAGTTGAGATACAAATAGCAAACCCTAGATTGGGCTGTACTCGCTATGGAGTACCCCACTGCAGGCTAGACAAATACAACATTCTGACACACCCCCATAGCCAAAGTGGGGTGTAATCAGCACAACAAGCAGTCATAATAGTAGTTCACATTTTATGAGCAAAGCTAGAGGCAGTCACAAAGGGCAAGTGAGGAGGAGGAGGGCTGGCGAGAGGAGAGAAGAGTGGAGGCGACGACTGAAGCTGCAGACACACGGGCAACAGACGGCTCTGGTGCAGCTCTAGTGGCTACCGGGAGCAAGGGCCCCGGAATACAGGAGTAACAGGCTCTGCGTCTGATCAGCAGCGACAGGAGCAACGGACCCACGGGCGACAGGTGCAACCGGCTCTCTGAGCTACCGGTGGCTATCAGAACCCCGGAATACAGGCGCTGCAGACGACACGACGGCGGCCTCCGCTCAACCTCCCCCAACAGTCCCACACCCCTCGACACACACCCCCTGCTTCGCCCCTAGCTCCACTCCCCTTTCACCCCCCTAGTACCACTCCGTCGGCTCCCCACACAACCACCCCCCTGAGCGGCAGCTGCAGCAGCGGGAGACGGAGGAGGAGGAGGAGGGGACGGGGCACACAACCGGCACCCCCACACCCGCCACCCCCACACTCCACATCCCCAAACCCTAAAACGGGTGGGATAGGGGCAGGAGCGCGGGGGACGGCGAGAGGGGGACCCGGCGGACTGGCGGGGGGGGGGGGGGGGGGGGGGGGGGGGCGCGCGCGGCTCCCGAGGGCGCCGCGACGGACTGGCGGGGCGCGCGCGGGCTCCTCAAGGCGCCGCGACGAACGAGCGGGGCGCGCGCGGGCTCCCCAGGGCGCCGCGACGGACGGGCGGGGCGCGCGCGGGCTCCCCAGGGTGCCGCGACGAACGGGCGGGGCGCTCGCGTGCTCCCCAGGGCGCCGCGACGGACGGGCGGGGCGCGCGCGGGCTCCCGAGGGCGCCGCGACGAACGGGCGGGGCGCTCGCGTGCTCCCCAGGGCGCCGCAACGGACGGGCGGGGCGCGCGCGGGCTCCCCACGGCAGGAAACCGCCGCGCGCCACGGGGCGCACGGCGGGCAGAAAACCGCCGCGCACCTCGGGGCGCACGGCGGGATGAAAAATCCGTCGCACGCCACGGGGCGTGCGACACACAGAGTAGCAGTAGCAGCGGAAGGCTTAGGTGGTGGGCCCACCCACAGGATCGACCCAGGAGGGTCGACCTGCTCTGATAGCATGTCGAAAGGTAAGCAAGAAGTTTAGAAG